GACTTTTCAATTCTCTATCCAACGATGCCAAAACGAATTGGAGTGAGCGCCACTGGAGTAGCCGGCGCCTCGCAAGGTCTATGCGATGACCTTCCCCTTCACCAGGAATTCCAAGACGGTGAAGACGGTGCCGATTTTTCGCATCTTGGCCAAAATTTACACCAATTTAGGCCGATATTTGAAAAACGACTGCGGATTTTTACAGCTTTAAAGCGAGCGAATGGAATGTGAAAGGCAAAGGGCAGGTTTTTGATCATGTATGACGGACACAGACTGCATTAAAGAAGCAACAAAAATTTCTCAATCGCTCAAAAACTCAATCTCTATTCCAATCAGACTATTCTGGGGCTTCTGCTCAAAGAGGCACCGGTTTGGGCCAACTGATGGACTCTCCGAGTTCGCAAGGAATCGCCCCAATTGCCGCTCCACAGCCGGAATTCTTCGCGCTGCCAACATCCGAATTCCGTCTCCCAAATGAGGAAATCCAGTTTAACGGTCCCATTCGACGCCTCCCCCCAAAATCTAGAAATGGACTCTCCGCGCGATATTGTTACTAATAAAACAATCAGTCAACGGGCGAGTCAGCGCGCACCACGTTCTACCACTAACCGCAAATTTGGATTGGATTGGACGAGTAGCGGAACTATCGTTATCCCACCTCAACAGGTAAATAGGGAGTCTTAGAGGAGGAGGAGGAGGGAACAACGCAAATATTCCCAAGGAGCAATCGGGGACGTTAAGCTAGCCTCTCCTAGGCTTTGTCTGTCCGCTGCAAACCAGACATGGCCTAGCTGGGGTTAACTTTAAGCCCTTAAATCAGCACAGAATCGAACAACAATCGGCACCCAACTTGCACCAGTCGGTCAGCCATTCAACAATAATGTCAGCTTGAAGGGCAGTCAGAGAGTTTTTCAATTTTCGACTAAACCCCAACTAAATTATACAGTGGCCGCTGCGCGGTGCGGAGAAATGAACTCTGGACCACCGGAAAAACCCGCAAAAACCATCGCAGCTCCATCCTGTCCCAAATCAGGTAAACTCAAACAAGTGATTTAATCCCATTCTGGAATGGAACAGAAATTTATTCTAGAACTCCAAAGGAGGCACTCAAAAGAAGTGAGATGTTCCGGGAACAAGTCGATGGCCAGTTTGTGGCCGGCGCGCCCCTCTCGCAGCAAGCGAGCGCACTCCAGAGGGAGCTCCATGCAGAGGACCAGCAACAAGCGCAAGAAACCGAGCGAAAGTACAGCGGAAAAGCCGCTGAAAAAGAGGAATCGGCGGTCCAAAAGGTGACCATTTCCTGGCTAGTGAGGTTTAAATTACAGCAAAAGCATCTTGAAGGCAGCGAACCAGCAAAAGGGCGGAGCACATTCTAAGTGCGTCAAAGCCGGCAGAAGAGCCCGAGAAAAGCGAGTACCAAAAGCGGCTCGCCTGCTTGGCGAAGTTCGGTAAGAACTTCTACTGCGCGTCCGTAAAACCGAGATCCGGCTTAAGGCCGATCTACATCGACGGCAGCAACGTGGCCTTCAGGTGAGCAACAGCACAGCCTCAAGCCTGT